TATATATATATATAAGTATATATATATATATATATATATATATATATATATATATATATATATATATATATATATATATATATATATATATATATATATATATATATATATATATATATACCTACCCTTGATTTCAAAGGATCATAAAATCTAAAGAACGACAAGGCGAAAGGACGCCTTAAAATGGAAGGGCCTCTGGCCTTGCCGATGTGGAATTCGCTGCCAATCGTGCTCACAAGAATTGCATTTTCGACAGAAAGCAGGACGCACCAGAAATCACGCACATGCATGGTTAATAAATATTCTCTACTTCCTCACTAATTTGCATATCATCGATGCATTACTCATTGGAATATATGGCTTCTGCAGTAAATAGTAAGTTATATAACGTGATGTTGTAAATCGCAAAATCAGAGAATATGGTAGGTCGTTTGCTATTTGCCTCAATTGCTGGTTGCAGAACAAAGTCAATAGAAATATTTAGTGTGATGTTTGCCTGGTTTAAGTCACTCAGGCCTATTCTGCATTTTCGTTTGTTCCAGACCTATAAATGGCTGTAGTGCGGCATAGAGTTAAATAGACAAATGTGGTAAAAGCTAACCTCTGTACAAATATTGAAAAATGCAGAATAGGCAGTGACTGAAACCAGGTCAACATTACCCAAAATACTTCGACAGACTTTATTTTGCAGAGAGCGATAGAGGCAGGTTACAAACAAACTACTTTATTCCCAGAATTTGCGATTAACAATGTCGTGTTATATAATTCATGATCACTGTTTATTGTTGAAGGGTCATAATTTACCCACACTATCCAAGCTCGTGGTTGGTTGATTATAGCAATGAAAGACAATTATTATAGAAATTGTCTTTCTAAAGAACGAGTCACGAACAATAATTATTTTTGTTTCTGAAAGCCAAGCACAAAACATGATCATTTTAAGTTGGTCTTTCATATTTCAACGTGATATGCAAATTACGAAGGATGTAGAATAAATCATGCCCGTGATTGATAATAAAACTATAAAAGGCTAAAATCTGAAAACTTTCATTGTTGGTATCCTGCATGGTTAAATACAAAGATAGCGATAATGGACAGTAAAGGTAGTAATCGGTTATAGTCAATTACGCTTCTCTTCCAACAATAGGTGGAAAATGTTGATAGGTTACTTTAACAGCAGGCAAGATTGTCATATACCCATTACGGTCTAGTTTGAGAACGATATTTATTAACAATTGACCAGCAAGGGTGTTCGGAGTCAATCTATCCGTTCAGCCAGTCTTTTCATTTGGACTAGTATATACTGACCATGCATAGTTTTAGGACTGGGAGAGGGTGTCTCTTTATTATTGTTCGATTCAGAGGCTGCTTATATGCAAGCCGGTCTGTGTAAATTTGGGACACGGTTGACTGCAAGGTTTGTCAGAAAATTTTAACAAATTATCAATTGTTTTTTTAACAAATTGTCAATGTATATCCACTCAATCAAGAAGAACTATTTAAGAAATAAAAAGTTGCAAGAAACGAGGAACTGCTTTTCCGGCTTCCCAGGTTGTTGACCATACATGGGCAAATTTCATCCCGGCTACCGGCCAAATCCAGTTATAAATCTGTAATGACGGGTCTCTAAGGACTATAAGATCTTTGACTTTCTGAGACAGAGTGGTAACTAGGAGACGGTGATGCGAAACTGTTTTTCATACAAAAAGTCAATTTAGAACAATTTGATAATGCAACTACCACTTTCATATTTACTGATAAAATTTAAAGCGGCTCATGTGTGCATGTTTACAATTTTTTTCTAATTTGATATTTGTTCAGTCACAATGAAATACTTACAAAGTCGAATTATCTAGATCTATAGAAATTACCAGGAAATGATTGATATTCATGATGGTATATTAATCGTTTTACGTGCAATACTGCAGGAAATTTATGTCGTCTTTCTTTAAAATTCAATGGCAGTAAAAGGGCTCTTAGAGAGCGTATAAAAGTAAAATGTATACTTCGGTTCCGAAGTCTACACCAATTAAAACAGTTATTTATAAAAGGGCACTACGATATTGGACAAAAAAGGTTGAAACCATCGCACGAGAAATATAATTAATCTAAATTGACAAGCAAAACTTGACAACCCGTTTGTGCCCAGGTCATTGTTGCAGACATTTCCACAATATTTAGGGAATTTACCTCGGCATCAGTAAACTGAACATTGCGTGAGGTCGGGGAGAGATGAGAGTTTTTGTAAAGGCCGGCGCACACTGGAGCTATGTGCTTAGCCAAATTTCATTCGTGCCCATTGGCGTAAGGAGATAGCTCTCGTGTGCGGGCGATTTACGAACAACTTTTGTCATTCGTGCCACTTACGCCAAATATCAAACATGTTTGATAATTTCTGCCTCGCGTGCCAAAATCTTTCCGTGTGCGGCGAACGAAAGCCTTTTGCTTACGGATTGTCTTAACAGCGCATGCGTAGTATACAAGGCTTTCGTTCGCCGCACACGAAAAGATTTTGGCAAGCGAGGCAGAAATTATCAAACATGTTTGATATTTGGCGTAAGTGGCACGAATGACAAAAGTTGTTCGTAAATCGCCCGCACACGAGAGCTATCTCCTTACGCCAATGGGCACGAATGAAATTTGGCTAAGCACATAGCTCCAGTGTGCGCCGGCCTTAAGAGGTGAAGATCTCAGCCCGAGATTGTTGGATGACGTCGACGTCATAATAGGTAGGAGTTTCCATTCAGGCAGACAGTTAAGATACACGTCCAAACCGTAGTGATGGGCGATACCGAGTACTCGGTATTCGATACCAGCGATACCACAAACAGCGGTATCGGTATCGATTACTGACATGATATCGTTCGATACTTGTACCCTTTTTTAAACGACTTGTTTAATTTCACTTCTTGGTTGAATAAGACTTAATAAACCACTAAAATAACTCTTAATATTCCAAATGTGGTCCGCCAAGTCATGAATAGAAAATATTTATTACGTTTCAGGCTTTTGGTTTACATATAGCTTTATTTAGGTTACATGCAGTGATGTAAAATGTTTTTCCGCTGAGCGGCAGGTATCGAAAGTAGCCGATACTAGCAATTTAAGTACTCACTTCCGGTATCGAAAACTGAAATTTTGCGTTCATTTTGGTATCGAAATAGGTATCGGTATCGGCCGATACCGATCTTAAAAGTATCGGTATCGGTATCGAATTAAAAATCCTGGTATCGCCCATCACTACCAAACCGGATTTGTCCATCATCGTGGTTGGCAACTGAATAACATTAAAAACTATGCAGGTTAGGAGACCTATTAATTAATCATGTTATAGACCCACTCATGCATTTAGTTAACCCCCTTCGAAAATAGCACCTTCCGCTTTTTCCTTATATGTATATATGGTGATATTAAAAAATTTAAAAACAGCTGCAGGACAAAGCAATATATGATTATAATAGTACCTCGTGCTTTCCCTTGGTTACTTCAAACAAACTCTATAGACTATACTTATAGCGGCCAAAACCGACCAGTCTCTTGGTTTCTCACCGGTCCTCAGTCGACAGTGAAAAGAACAGCCTTTGTTTTGTTTAAATTAGTTTAAGAGAGAACATCCTGATAGACAGTGTAATTATATTGCCGGTATAACATGCATCCTTATAACATCCCAACAAAGTCTCTCAAGTCGGTGTATAATTTTGCTCGCGTGTTTGCGGTTGTTAAGGCTGTTATACAGTGTAGTATATACACAATCGAAATTTCGTCCCTCCGATGGTTGTTGCATGTGACATTGTAAACCTCTTGGATCAAAAGATGAAAACCAGTGGGGCCGCTTCGAGACGTCATTACAAAAATTAAAAATCAATGGACAATGAAAATTTAAAATAAACAGAAACGCTCAATAACTTATTTGGAAGCGACTATAAATATAGCTTGTTGTCATACTTGTTAAAGTAGTATTGTTAAAGCAATAAAACTTTTTCAAAGCCTCTTCCAATGTTGTTTAGTTCTCGAAATATTTTGACCAAAATCATCATAAATCAGTGACCTGTATATGTCCGCCATCTTGCATTAGTGTGGATATACATGTTACGTCACTAGCAGAGTCACCAAATATTTTACCCAGATATGCAGTGCTAGTGGTCTATACTTCGGTCACTGTTTCAAAGAAACAAATTTGCTGACAATATTTTAAGACTCTAACTGTTATTTGGTCACCCATGTGTTATATTTCGATTTCAGAAGCCAAGATCGATTGCGATTGAAAAGTATATTTTATTAAATCTCATGAGATAAATCTTTCGCTCTAGAATCTAGATTTGTTGTAAGATGACATATTTTAACATTTTTTAATATATCAAGGTTTTGTATTCTCATATTCCACCTTTAATTGATAGCTGAGATCTCACACCGCTCTAAAGTTCAGGTCAGTTATTAAATAAATCATTACTCTACATAGTCAAACTTTTACTTCATTATGAAATCATTAAATCTTGATGGTCTCTTTATTATTCCTCCTCTCGATGTTGTTCTAACTTCTGTAGATGGAGGAATAATTTCTGGAATTGTACTCGATTGATATTGGATTTCATCAGGACTATGTGGCTTCAACATTTTCAGAAGCATTCTTCTATTTCTCCTATATTCACCACCATCATCAGTCTGAACACGATACGATCTCGAGTGACAACACCTGGTTTCCAAGAACCTTTCATTCTTCCTCTAATTCTATCTCCTTCGTGTAACCTTTTTAGGGATTTTGACTGACGATCATAATAGAATTTCTGTTTATGCTGCTTGAGATTCAATCTAGTCTTTACTTCATCAGGATCTGAAACTCGAGGCTTCAATTCCGCTATCGTTTGAGGAATTGTTGAACGCAAACGCCTATTCATCAATAACTGCGCTGGACTTTCCACATCATCGATAGGAGTGTTTCTATATTACAATAAACTTAAATATGGGACATTACTAAACCACGAAACAGCGAAACGAAACAGCGAAACAACGAAACAGCGAAACGAAACAGCGAAACAACACGTTTTATATTGTTTTAAGTAAAAGGAATAAACTACATTTATATCAAAGTAGAACGAAGTTAGACAAGATGAAATCCTTAAAGTCAGGGACGCCGGAACGATGTGAAGGCAGGGGGGGGGGCAGATTTTCGTAAAAGGGCACTTTTGAATTGGTATATACTAAGAGATGTTTGCAAAACATCGGGAATTGAACTTCGCCTAACCATGTTTTCTATTTATTGGATGATAGGGGTGTGAGGGAGTTCTCCACCAGGCGATTGTGCTATTCTTGGGGCTCAATAACTGCATTTCTTGCGTTTTCTGATGCAAATTTGTAAAAGAATTGCACTAACATTTCTGACAATTCGCTATTTCACCTTTGCCCCCCTTGCCCCTCTTGCTAAAGGGCAACGGGGGCGGCTGCCCCTCCTGCCCCCCAGTTCCGGCTTCCCTGCTTAAAGTTACAACGCCATCAGCACATAAAAGTCGTAATTAATACTAATAGTGTCACGTATTAATCTTTATTATCGAATATTGGGAAGGATAGAAACTCTTCTGCTTTTCGAATACTGTCAAAGTTTCCTCTGTTATAATTTCTTTGAAGTTTTCATGTTGTTTTGACATTAAATTTTGGCTGTGAAACGAGCATATGTGTGTGGGGTGCTCGGTCAAAACGGCCCCAAGTCAAACGGCGGCCCCAAGTCAAAACGACTCCAAGTCAAAACGGCTATTGCATGCCTTGAAAATTATTATACAAATAAAATTATTATTACACGAGTTCAAACTATAATAAGTTTTATGACAAATTATAAAATTAATTCAAGGATTAAGTAATTTAGATTGTAAATATTGAACTATGGAGTTATTTTATTCAAATATTCAACTATATATGGAGTTGCTTTATTCAAATATTAATTCTCGACTTCGTCTCGGCGAAGGAATTTCCCCGATATATATAAATCACCTCGCCTTCGACAAATAAATTGTTAAATGTTCACCTTTGCACAGCTGTAATTTCTGGCAATGGATTTATTTTTGTTATATTGTAACATAATAGTTCGAACAATCCAAGCGGGGCCGCCATTTGACTTGG